CTTAGACAGTAAGAGAAGGAGTCCAGGTCCTAGATCATCTGCATTTAAGCCCCTGATTAAAAATGGAGTCCTCACTTCTTTTGTGCCCAGGCCTGGACCTCTGAAGAGAAGCCTCCACTCCAGGAGTTCAGATCACAGCTTGGATGAAAAGCCCAGTTGCTCCTCCATGAGCTTCTTGCCCAGCATACACACAGGTGGCCCCCTCAGCTCTAAAAGAAGTGCTGTTACCAGCTCTTCCAGCTCTTCCAGAGATTTCTCAGAGCCTTGGAAGAGAAGTGTTCCCAGTGCATCACTCCAGACACGAGAGTGGCCAGTAAGAAAGAAAGAGAAAGGTTATCAGTCTTACTCTCAAGTCTCACTGGTATCAGACAATGAGTTCCCAGGAGAATCTGTAAGTTCTGGGCAGCAAAATCAGAAGATGTCACTGCTGCTGTCAAGACCTGAGAACCTGCTGTCCCTGACCTCCTCTACCCAGCTTGGTTTTGCAGTCCCTGATGAAGACCTGACCTTGGGGAACAAAACTGGGCTCCAGTTGATCAACAAAGCCAGAGAGGATACAACTGAGGCCACCACAAACCCTCTCCCTGAGACTTGGCCTGCCATTCAGCCTTCACCGTCTCTCACTCTGCCTTCTTCAGGGACAGCTCCGACCCAGGGCACAAATCCTCAGCTAGAAATCTTAGAGAAAATGCAGAAGTCTCCAGGTCTACTGGCCTCCCCACAGTCTACAGGAGAAGCAACGAGTGTGGCCCATTCACCTCCAAAGAGACCCAGACTGTCAACCCCACATGGGTGCTCACAGTTAGATCCCCTTCCAGGTACCTAAGAGACCCAGACTGTCAACCCCACATGGGTGCTCACAGTTAGATCCCCTTCCAGGTACCTCTACGGACTCAAAGCCTACAGCTACTTTCATCTTGCTGACCCCGACCCCTCCCACATCACCAGTCACTGACACCACCTGGCCACCTTCAACCTCTCAGGATGACAGGTCTGCCATGCCCCCAGACCCAGCTGCCATTAGTTCTGCAGCACCCACCACACAAAGTACTTTGTTTGGAATGATGAGTAGCCCAACCTCCCATCTTCTTTCATCTGTACCTCCTGCTGCAACTTCTGCTCACCTCATGTTAAAACCGATTTTGGGGCCCATGCACAACAATGAGGTTGGAGGTACCTTATATTCCAGAGTTTCCAGCACAGCTTCAGGATCTTCAAACTTTTCCATCTCCACAACTCCAGGCATCTTAATGTCCACCTTCAAGTCTATCTTTGGCAGCACAGAAACACTTAAAGCTATGCCCATAATAGCTCCTTTCTCCTCCAAGCAAACCTCTCCTCCATTTACTCCTGCTTCTACCCATGTCTTCCATGGCCTAGACAAGGCCACTCCTTTGGTTGTGTCCACTGCCCCAGCCAGCACATCCAAAGACTCTGCTTATAAGCCACCTTTGGACTTTGGTGTAGTGAATGTTACCAGTAACATGGGCAACACTTACTCTGTCCCTTCCACTTGTCACACTTTCTTGCTTGGGGATGCCCAGGCCTTTAAGGCTGGCTTCTCCCCAGCCACAGGCTTCATTTTCCCACAATCCCACCATCCTACCACTCCTTCTGTACACACAGTCACTGGCTTTAGCCAGGTTCTTCCTAGTGCTGTCCAGATATCCCCTTGCCGCAGCACTGCTAATTTCAGGGGTATGAGCAGCCCTCTGTCAGCCTCCGCCCTAGTACCCACAAGCTGGCCTGCATTATCACCCAGCATCTCCAACCTGACCCCAGCATTCACAATTCCCTTGGGGTCAAGCTCAAGGCCACCTTTCCCACTATCTTCAGGATCCACTTTCCAGCATACATTTGGGGTCACAAATGGGCAGAAGCAAGGGGCCCCCCAGTCAGCTCTCTCCCCAAGCTTCAGTAGTTCTGTCCTTTTTAAGAACTCAGCCATGGCATCCCCAACCTCAATGTCAACTCTAGCTCGGCCCGCCTTCAGCAGTACTACACAGCCAGCCTTTAGGGGTTTGACACCCTCAGCCTCCACCTTTCACACGCCTGCCAGCATACGGCGAGACTTTGGCAGCACTCCAGCAGGTTTTCCCTTTGGTCAAGCTAGCACAACTGGCCTTGGAGTTGTCACCCAGACCCAACGGAGTGGGGCTTGTGGCTCAGTGTTTGGCAGCACAGCCCCACGACCTTTTGCCTTTGGGGGATTAGTGACCCCTATGGACTGTGGGGAGTGTGGGATCAGCGTGACTGCCCCAGACAAGAGCTCCTCCTCTGGAGCTTTCAGCATTGGAGGAGTGCCAAGGGTGACCACTAGCACTGTGACCCCCTTTAGGAAAGGCTGGAGCCAGAACACCCAGGGCCTTCCCAACCAGAAGACACCTTTAGCCTTGGGGAGGGCCAGCATTTCTGCAAAAAAGCCTATATTTGGGGCCCCCTCCATGGCCCCGTTTGCTCAGAGACTCTTTGTCTCTAGACCAGTTAAGGCAGGCAGCACTCTTGGCTTTGGGATGACCTCTCCACCTGCCCACATCTCTGATGGGAGAGGACCTTTCAGATCATCAGCCCCTTCATTTTCCATTGGTGCAAAGTCAAAAACCCTAAAGATTAGGGAGCAAGGGCATTCCCGAAGGTATCATGCCCACCAGAAATAGCCAGTGTTCCCTGTCACCCACCCCCTGATTTGGACCTCAGTATTACTGTGAAGAGTTTCAGTCTCTTCCAATTCTCTAAAGCAAGTATACCCCAGATCTAAAGGTAGAGCTTTAAATGTTCACCCTATAGGTCCTAATCTACATCCTTGAAGAAGGTGGAGGACTAAGGTATCACCTACTAGTGAGGCATAATAAGGCTGAGTGGAACCCAACCCATCAGAATTGAACAGAACCTTCCTCTCCCTACCCACTCTGTGTCAGGTATGAAGCCAGTCAGGGCACCACCTTCTGCTTTTTCCCTGGGACAGCCAAGGCAGGAAGGCAGCAAGTATGACCTATGCCTTCTTGCATCTTTGGGAGGAGGAATAGATTCTCCCTAAATCTTAGTTTTCTTTTGTTTGGCTCTAAGAAATGGTTTCCTTTCTTTGGTCACCTAGGGATGCTAATTTCTCATTTCTCGCTACTTTGTTGCTCAGTGGGTTCTTGAAGGAGGTTTTGATGTAATTTGACCTTGAATCCAGCTTTTCCTTGAATATCAATGATCAACCCTAGCGGACATGCTTGTGTGTCCTCTTTTGCTGTACCTCTTCCTCCTACCATGTTGTTTTCATCTTTTCCCAAGAGAGGTGATGTTCTAGCCCCATCCTTCTCTCTGCCAATTTAATTTCTAAAATATTGGTGAGTCAAGAATCAACCTGTCAGACCCCAGAAGTCATTCCTCATTCCAAAAAAGGGAAGCTCTTGGCCCTTTTCTCTGCAGGCTTAGAGGAGGCAGGCAGGCCTTTTCTGTTCTGCATTTGCCACCTTTCCTAATTGCCACTCTGTATTATGTGTGTATAGAGACTTGCTCTCTTTACTTTGTCTGGTACTGATGTGTATTCCGTGCTTTTGGTTGCATTTAGAGGAGGAATGACTTACAGTGCAATGTCAATAGAGCCAGATTTAATTGTGTAAAGGTTTCTGAGGCTTGGATAATTGAATGACGCAAGCAGCACCACTTAATACTACAAGTGCTAATTCCTGAATTGACAATAGCATTTCGAATATAAGGGATGGCTTCTGAGGAAGTATCAGGGCCAACAGAGAGAAAGACAAGGGGATGCAACCTTGTTCCTTCTCTCTACTCTGTAGATCATGATCCCTCCAGTATAAGCCAGAAATGCTTGGATAGGAAACCAAAGCGTACGTTTCATTTTTTCGACTTATTTGTACCTCATTAAATCACTTCCTGCACATTCACACCTCTCCCAGAGAAGGTAGGCAGGGCGAGAAGGCTCTTGGTCCTGACAACAAAGGAAGAAAAAGGGGAACAGCAGATAGCTAAACTGACTCCTGTTCTATAACAAATGTAGGCCTACGAGTAATCTGTTATGTATTCCTTAACATTTCTTTTAACCCTGTTTGCAAAAACCAAACAAACAAAAAGGCAAGAATGATTCCCTGAGTACATCTATCTCCTATTCTATCTCCTGTTTTGTTGGTACCTTGGAGGAGGCCTAATTGGGCAAATGAGCAATCTTAAATCGGATGATAAAATAAAAATAAACTTTTGAAATAAGTCTATAATACAGGAATTGCTGTTAAATACATATCAATACAAAGGCAGAGAGATGTGAAGAAACTTGCCCAGGACCACCCAGTTAGTAAAGGCTAGATTTGGGATTTAAACTCTAATGGCTCCAGAGTCTGTGCTTGCTTCTCCCTCTTTATAGCAAATCACCAACGTTAGAATTCTAACCCAGGTATGTCTGAATCTAAATATCCATGCTGTTTCAACTTTTAAAGGCATTCCACACCCCAAGATTGCCATCTTACGGTAGGGGGGAGCAAGAGGGAAAGCATTAGACATTGTCTACTGCTATTTGCATAACAATTTATTTAACATTTGCCTAGTGATGGCTATATGCCCTGTATTGTACATTACGCCAGAAATTCGGAGGTAAAGGACAACTCCTATTTTGGAGGTTACAGTTTGGTGGGAAGATTGGTAAGTAAGCCAAGGATTCTAAAATAAGTGACAAGAGCCAAGGGAATGGGAGCAGGGAAGATTTCTTTTGTGTGTGTGTGTGTGTGTGGCTGGCTGGTATGGGGATCAGAAAGAGTCTTTTCTAAGACTACGACTTAAAACTTGAGTTCTGCCTGACAATGCGTGTTCTAGGCAACAAGTGGAGAAAGGCATTACAGGCCAAAGACAAAACGTGTGCACAGGTCGGTAAAGAAGATGGAACAGGATCTACTGGGACAATTTCCAAGGATTCAGGCATAGCTGGGGATGAGCAGAGGCAGGTCATGGATATGCTTATAAATCATGTAGTGCAGTATGGACAGTGTCCTAAATACAACAGAGAGCCATGGAAAGATTTTGAGCAGGAAGGAAACAGGTTTGTAATTGGGTTTTAGATTTCTCTGGCTGTCATATGAGGGAGGAATCAAATGGAGATAGACTGGAGACTTGGAGATGTGTGGGAGACTGTGGAGACACCAGCAAACATTAAAAATATGAGTTTGAACTAGGTGGTAGTCAACAGTGGTTGCTAACCAAATAGTTAACATTGGGGGAGGCAGCAGGAAAGAGGAAAGATTAAGGAGCAGGACTTGCGGAATCTTTGAGGAATTCCCAGATTGACTTGAGATTTCACTAGTGGCTTAGGCTACTGCTTATTCCCTTTCTAAGGCACGGATTATTAGATACCTGCAGGGAACTGCAAAGCCTGGACCTCTAGCAGATGGAAACAGCACTCTGATTACCAGTCTCCAAGTTCATCTCTGCCTGTCTGGGCTCAACCAACCATCTCCCTCCCAAATCCTGCCATGATGATCTTTCCAACCATCAGTCATCAGGGCAGACTGACACTTATATTAGCCAATATGTACTTTCATGTACATTTTGGGGATATTCTTTTATTTGCCCTTTACTCTTTCAATCAGCTGGGGTGTTCTGAGCTTCTTTCCTCAGGAAGGGGATGTAACAAAATAAAAGAAACAACTGTCCTTTAAATATTTTCCTCGATTTGGTTTCCAAAAGCCTAAAGACTCTGGGATGGCAGAGAAAGAACATGACAGAGGTAAGTGTTAGGAAGATCTGGGGTTTGGGGACAGTGGGACATTTGAGAAATTAGAAGGATTTTCCTGGAGTGGAAGGAGGAGAGCTGGAGGTGAGCAATGAGAAGGCGGAGGCTGATGGGTCCTGGGGCGTCAGTAAGACCGCAAGATCATATGGGTGTGGAATTAGGGCCAGAGGGGACCTTAGACAGCCTCTCAAAAATTTTGTGTTTTTTGTGGCAGCCGATATGGGGATCTAAACCCTTGACCTACAGCATCCAAACACCATGCTGTAACCAACTGAGCTACCCTACCAGCCCAGAAATTTTGATAATCAGTGCATTAGAACATAGGCTGATCCCAGGGTTTCAGGAAGAGTCAAAGATTTATCAGACAAAACCTGTAGTCCTAAAGGGCCAAGTTCACAGTTTCATGCTGTACATAAACACAGCCTTGGGAGAATTTCAATTTTCATTTCCTTAATTTCCTTAGTTTCTATTTTAGTTTCTTAAAGCATGTAGTATGGTATGAACAGTGTCTATTCTCTTAAAATTAGATTGAGCTCTAGAAAACTAAGAAATATTTCTTGTTTAACTGAGGCATTAATCCATTTGATATTCAGGAAAATGTGTCTATTTGGACCATGGACCTGGAGTTCAGAGACGAAGAAAGATCGCCTGAGTATCTCTTGAGTGGGAACAAGTTTCTTCTGTGGCTGTCTGCAATTGCTCTATGAAGACTGCATACCCTTCTGTTATCTTTCTATTTGGCTTCCTTTTATGCGCTGTCCTGGGTGGGTAGACAAGTCCATTTCTCACAATGAGAATCCAGAAGTTGAACCTAGACTGTATCTTGAGGTCCCCAAATAATTAGTAAAGAAAGGCTATTTCTGGGGCAGTGGTGTGGGAGCCAGTTAAAACTATTGGTGGGGAAATTAGTATGTTCAGGGCAGATGCTTGGGCACATATTCTCATGCACAAACAGAGATATGCAGACATGTAGACACACATAAACAGGCACCAAACAATTTATAGTTACTCTTTTTAAAAAAAAGTGAAGCTGGTATATTTTTGCACTATTACTTCATTTATCCATTTATTTATGTATTTTTTGGTGGCTGGCTAGTACTGGGAACTAAACCCATGACTTTGGTGTTACAACACTCTGCTATAACCATCTTTTTGAGCTAACCCACCAGTCCCTTATGGTTATTCTTTAACCTATTCTTTAAATTTGATGAAATTCTACTGAACACTCTCTCTTTCTTTCAGAGCATCCAGTCACATCCTGCGTAAAAGTTTCACTTGAAGTAAACACAATTTTCAAGGGGAGTTATTCTGTTCTCTTATGATAGATATAAAAATTTTTAAAAGACTTCTAATATAATTGCTGGACACAGACTCTTTGGAGGTTGAAACTGGGGTACCAGTCTTAAAGAAGCAGTCTATAAACCTTGATATGTTCTTATGCTATGTTGATACAGGAGTAAAAAGTGTCTCTAAAATATTTTAGATCTACATTATCCAAGCTATAGTGGCTGTTGAGCACACATGAAATGTGGGTAGACTGAATTGAGATGTGACGTGAATGTAACACACACATCAGATTTTGTACTGATTTTGTAACATACACATCAGATTTTGCACAGTTAGTAGAAAAGAGAATCTCAATAATTTCTTCAAATTGATTAAATGTTGAAATGATAATATTTTGAATATATTGAATTAAAAAATGCATATTAAAACCAAGTCACTTATTTGTATTTTTTTAATTTTTTTATTTTAACATTTACTAGTATATATTTGTGGGGTACAGTGTGTTGTTTCAATGCATGCATATACTGCACAATGATTCATTTAGGATAGACAGCATCATTCTGTACCCATTAGTTCACCATCTCTCCTCCTCCCCATCCTTCTCTTCTCCCAGCCTCTGGTAACCATTATTCTACTCTCTAC